TTGATGAAATAATCGGTCGTTTCTTTTTCCTTGTCGTCATCTCTTCCGAGGTGGCCTCGAGCTCAATCTTACATGATATGAAGAGGTCTGCTTTTTGTGAAAAAGATTTCTTGTCTTACCTTGTTGATTAACGTAGGTCGCCCAGATCGTCCAACCGACGTTAAGGTGAATTGTATAGATTTTGTCGCTCAGTCAACTGCTGTCGTTACTTGGCATCCGGGTTCAGACAATTATGCGCCTATAATTGAGTACATGGTGGAATTTTCCACTCAATATGAGCGCGATACTTGGTATCCGGCCGAATTGTTCAATGTCAGCGGCCTGGTGCGATCCACTGATGTAAAGGTAGGATCATACTTAACTTTTAATTGACGAGCATCTCACCTTTTTACGTATTGCTAAAGCATTTTTCATTTGTACTCACTTATCGCCCATAATTAATTAGAAGCTCAATCATTTTCAAGATTCACATTGTGACCTTCATCCTCACTGGTTCGACTTATTTAATAAGGCACTATTGGTTTCAGTAATAGCATTAATCTTATTGACAATAAAGTGGTATACCATACTCCGAAATATTTGTACTTCTTATGCATATGTCAATATCGAGACATAGACCTATGCAAACTTGTGGGTGTACGTATACGTTCATGTTTATGTAAGGGAATAAAACCAGCATTGGTAGATTGAAGCAATTGGAATTGAACTTAGCTTTTATTTATTGTCATCATGGTTTAATAAACCATTTTTTAGCCACTACTCGGGCTACCTATTGGCGATATACGTCTGGTTAATAATAATAATAATAATCGAAACAAATTTCTTGACTTTGGGCCTTCTGATTAAAAATATATGCAAATTTGTAGTGACATTTAAGGAATCTATGGCAACTTTTGTAATGTCTAGTTTTACATCAAAGTTGACTAATTATCCAACTTAAGCTGCTATACAATAGTATGCTAATGAGGCTTTTATGTTGGAGATACTTTTCGCCCTAATTGGCATAGGGTGGTTGAACAAAGATCGGCTTGTAGAGGCTGTTGAGTTGAACGAGAAGAGTGAGCAAAACACGTCCTCGACTGAAAATCCAATAAACTGGTAGAAAATTTGTCGTCTCGCTAGGTCTTCTATGCCTGGTGTTAAGAGAAAAATTAAAGGGAGGGGAAGGGCTATCATAATCAACATATTAAGCAATACATTAATTATCAAGAAAAAATATACTTATCTTAGCAATAAAAGGTATGGTTTAAAAAGTTTT